ATATGTACATAAGTTAAATTATAAAAGGATTTCACTTGAATTATGCTTGCTGTCAAAAACTATAATTACGAATTTTTGCAATAAATTAACTTTAAGTGCAATTAAGTTCTATTTCTTATGACATTAATATCCACTATTTTTTTTTTTTTTTTTTTTTTTTTAGCGTTTAATTAATCAATGTTTAAGAGGATAATTATGTGTAAACGGTTTCAAATAGTGCAAGAGTATATCCGTTCCGTTTGAAGTCAAAATGTTAAATACCGAGCACGTGGAACAAATATGTTTTCTATGTGATTTCTGATTAGAAGCACACACAATGTAGAGGCATCTCACTATGCCCATTAATTATAACATTGGGCGGTCAGCGAAAAGTGATAGCACTCGTTACTGACTGCTTTCGCATGTGCAATGAACATTTTTGCATTAAGCCATCAACTTTTGGGTGAGGAACTGTGTTTTACGCACACGATCTCACGGCTTATATGTTTAATCAAATGCGACAATTTTCTTTATTATTCAGACAACTAAGCCAAAATAGTGTTCCAAGGTTATAGGAACACTTTCATAATAAAAATCTTTACATTCCTCAAAATAGTTCAAGATCACATCACAATCATATTCTGCTTCCGTTAGCACAGATTTTAAAATTAAACTATAACTATAATTTAAGATCGATTGTCCACTAATCGAAGAGTAACTATAACACGCAAAAAAATGCGATGCCTGCAAATCCCAACTATCTGTCTGATCGAACGAATAATTAGAAACGGACTTCAGCAATTCGTTTAAGGCAATTGAACAGGGCCGAAAGAAAGAATGCATGTGCTTTTGCTGACCACCTTGGGCCTTGGGAGTTTCTTCCTTCTACCCTACCTAATAATCTCCTTCCGACAATGATGTCTACGGGAGTCCTCGAAGTTCGGTTCGAAGACCCCTAAGTTCTCGTCTTTTCCTCTCAAGCTTAAGCAAACTATATTTTATTTTTTTTTATTTTTATTAATTATTTTTATTACACAATATTCCATTTTTAATATTTTTAAATAAATAATAGGGAGAAATCAATTCACTTAATGTAAACCATGTATAGGTGTTTAGGTTAATGTATATATACGTATGACTACTTTTTCAAAAATTATCCTTTTAATACAAATACAATTAATGCAAATGTATGTAGCCGCACTTACACATTCCCATTATACTTAGCTGGTTCGTAATTAGACATCATAACGAGCATCGAACCATGATTCATGTAATAGAAAGGAAGGATTAAAATCAATTGGGTTTAAATTTAGCACATCTCATCGAAAATAAGCTTTCTTCAATCATAAGGCGTTACCTCCAGCAAATAGAATTTTAAATAAATCTGAAGGATGCAAAACTAATAAGGGAATAATTCCATCGACATGTCTACCACTAAACGTTGATTTATCTAATAAGAGATATTGAACTATGTTCACTACCTTTTTCGTTACCAGTACTCGTCGAATTTATAGCAGATACTGTGATGATTTTTTATGAAAGCGTTATAAAGTACCGTCGGGTTTATCTGGGCACGTATCACAACAAGGAACTTTATATCGCTTTTATGAAACTTTACGACCACTTAACATGTATGGTTCAGTTATTAGTTGTTGTTGTTGTTGTGCACTGGCTTGTATTAAAAACCTTCGGCAAGCGTAACATTTTTTTTTTCTGTCTCTTTCTCTCACGTTATCTTTGGTATCTTATGATCGTGTTAATGAACATTTACTACAAATCAACGATAGTTTTTTTTTTTTAACACAAATTTTCTCACTTAAAGAAAAATTTGCAATATTTTTATACGAAGCGGCTGAGAAATTTTCATTCTTCCATTGACTTTCATACTAGTTTCGTGTCTATTTTAGCAATGCGTGTTATTTTGTCTTTATCGCTACTCCAGTTTCAAAGAATCTTCCCTTTTTTTTCTTTTGCCCTCTTCTCTACTTTCTCATATCTATTTAATACCTTTAGTTTGACCGCTTTAACCTTGAAATTTCTGTTGTACAAATGTGATTATCTACAGGCTATGTGTGAGCGTTTTATTTGCGTACATTCCAACACCAGCACTCGTTTTACTCTTGGAAAGAACGGTTTTACATAAAGTTCTGGAGATTCTTGATACTTGGCCAATGTTGATCACATATACAAACTAAAGTTATTTTTAACTCAGAATGCCTCAAAAAGACCGATTTTTTAATTTTTTTTTTCTTCTTTTAAGTAACACGATTAAGAAAATTGACAAAGGTCAAAAGAGGTAGATTACAGTAAATGACAGGCAGTGTGGACTTGCCCTCTGTTACTTAATTGAGTCACTTACTAATGTGTTAATTTAAGCGAAATAGTACGTTTAACTTCCCGAGATGTCTTTCTGCAGTCTTTTCTTCTCCATATTTTTCTTTTCTTTCAGGGACTAATTTCTTGTTCTTCATTTACTTCACATTTAAAATATTTCTTAAGTCGTTGTCAGTTTTTTCACAAAACATTAAGTATATGACGTTGTTTGCGGATTTCATTCGAGTAACTGTTTAATTTCCGCATCAACTCTTGTGTTTTTCACTAATTTTCTCTACGTTGAATTTTACTCGTGTTTATGCCTTAAAAATTTCTTTAATTCTCTTGTCTGCCATTTTTCCTTTCCAACAAATCCTAAAAAAGCTAGCGAAACAAAAACCGTCAAGAGCTACGTCAAAAAAATCTTCTCTTTTTCGTGTGCGAAGTTAACAGTCCATATACTGCAGAGTTGCATTCTCAACAGAAACTGTTAAGCAAACCCACACGTTACATAGCGTTTGAGAGACTGGCTTGAATCCTCGCCGACACTGCCACCTGCACTCTCAATAGTTCCTTCACTTCTTCTATCTTCATATTCGAGCCAAGTTTTTATGTAAAACATATGCCCCCGGTTGCTCACTCGCTTCACTGTGGTTTTTTCACCGCCTGTATCGGAAAACTCTTTAGTGAAAAGTTTAATACGTGGAGAAAGAAAATAACGTGGACAATAACAGAAGAAGTAGGATTGATTAGTCCTACGTGTTAATCTAATAAATGAAAATAATGTATCCATTTTCCTCCGCTACAAGCTCGATACTTTTTATGCTTAAACTTTTGGATTTTTTATGTGAATTCTAGACATGTTTGCTTAATATACATAACGAATTTTAGATACGTATTTCTAATTGGTTGTAACAACATCAATTAAGAAATATCCATTTTCATAATGTACGCGAGCTGTGATTCGAGGATATATTGAGATTGTGCGGATCTATGTAACACCGAATAGCACTTGCGATAGACCCACCTTTCCCACCTTTCGATTTAGCTTTTTACATCCATTTAAGCTTGCCTTTCGTCTGTTCGTCTTGCATTCTTGTATCCAACTTTTGAGATATTTTGATGAAATTCGGCACATTAGCGGCGAACGTTATTGAAAATGATTGGGGTCGGAGCACTTCTCGCCCACTTCCCATATAACTGCTTATTTTGACAAGTCGTATGAATTACTGTAGGGCGATGTGCTGATCCGCTATTTTGTCTTTATTTATTTTATTTATTTATTTTTTTCGATATTTCTGTCCACGCTAGTGGGCGTTATAATAAGTCAAGGGACAAACTTGCGTCATTTTTATTATTTATTTATTTTTTGTTTTTTTGAATATGACCAATAACTCAAGGGATGTCTACTATTCATAAAACAAGGTGAATGTCAGAAATAAGAGGAAGGAGAAAGAAATAACAGGAAGTGATGACCGTAGCCTAGCGGGTGTGGACCCATTCGATAGTTGATATGCCTTTACCCACCGAGTACTCACTATAGCTATGACTAGAGAAAACTCTACTAAGCTTGAGACTTCAATTCGCAAACACTGATTTGGAAATCGCGCTCAATGCCGATGACTTTCCCTATATGAAAAGTGACATTCCTTAGACTACTACAAAAAGCAAATTATGTGAGCTTGCAATAAAGGCTTCGATTTTCTCGCTCCCAATTTGTGCGGCCATAATGGCTTTCGCCTTTTCGAGGCATTTGAAAATGACTTCGTCTAGGTTTTGGTCCACAAATCCCACATTTTTCTATAGTAATTGAATTATGAGCAGTGCCGCAAGGTTATAGCCGAGCCGGCTAAGGATCTCGACTAGTAACACAATTGTCGCGGGTTTAAACGGTGAAGTTTTATCAATGATACTAATCAACTATTGAAATATTTTGGATACAAACAACCTTCGGTAAAAGCTGAAAGCTTCCATTCAGCGGAAAAATTTGAAGAATCTGAATAGTAGCATGGACAATTGCGACAAGACCAACTGATACTTTACTGCTATTGAAAATAAACTAACAATTGAAACACGTTACCAGACTTAAGAGCTTCCACTGAGAAATCCATTTATTTAATCCAAAGGATCACATGCTCACCCATCCACATATTATATTTATCATAAAATTCAGCTGAACTTCTTTCATATCAAGAACGCCCTTGCTTGCGCCTTCAAGAATCATTACAACTCGCCTATGAACAAGCAAATATTTTTAATAAACGTTTGATAAAGATAGTTTTATTGCATCTCTAATGCATATATGTTGGCTATTATAGGTGTAATAACCAGTTTTGTCTTCGTTCTTCTGTAGAATATATAAATATTGAAACTTAACTAAGAATATTTCTATGCAAATTATTCTCTCAAGAATTTTAATTCGAATTAAGTTTGGTAAACAAGGACGTTATAAGCTCTAAATAGCTAAGGCTATAGCATTTATTTTAACACGTTAATACAGCTGGAAACATGCACGATACCGTAATGCATGCAAATAACTTATATTTTTGTAGCCAATACCTAAATATGAGAAAAAATATCGATTTTCTTATTCTGATAATAGTATTGTGTGACGGGTTAGAGCAACACTATATAGTGCTTTAAAACCTAAAAATTTTTTGTCGATTTAGTTATGTTCACCTGTTCGCCCATCTATCTTACTGACTTACTCCAGTTTGACACAATAAAGTAAATCTCTTCGGTCTATGAACTTTTAGCTACATTCCTGAGATCCGGCTTCAAAAACGTCCTTTAATGCGATCGTCTGTGCCGTATCTAAAATTGAACAAAAGAATACACGGGAACGGTTTAACATATTCGCGTGCACAAAGTACTGCTATGATTAAAGTTGATAAAAAAACTTTTGAATATTTAGTTACGTAATTATGATAACAGTGTAAATTCGTTCGATATGTTATGTGTGTTCAAATCGCTTGCTCTGTAAAACACGCCGAACACGTTACTTTCTACCGAAACTTTACGTAAAGGCAACTTTTACAAGTTGACGACATTGGATGCAAGTCAACAAGCAGCATTTACTGCAATGGGTATTTTTCTATGTTTGGCTGTAAAAAAAGCGCAGCTGAGACGCAGTGGGTTATGAAGCAGTAAGAAAGTGATATACGAAAAAATTGTAGTCTAAAAGATGATGAACACTGCGGAGCTTCGCAAATGTGTTGGATGAAGAAATTTAAAGTGTATAACGGGAAACTAAAAAGACTTTGTTGTATAGCTGGGTATGAGGTAAAACAAAAATTTCAATCCCGGTTATATGCATAAAGCAAGCGATACAAAAGGAAGGAAAACTGGGTATCCAATGAGCTAAGCACGGGGAAGAGAAAACGATTATAGTTAGTTATAATTGAAGTTAGTTAGAAAAAGAAGAATCATCTTTATCAAAGTATTACAATCTAAGAGAAGAAACACATAGATTGACCCAGGATAACCATCCACCGTCTCTTACAAAGTGGCGTATTCATAAAGGCAAAGTGCTACTGCGAGTTTGTTGCGTTTGAAAAGTAATGACTGAGTACGAACTTTAGAGCCTTATCAAACAGTTACAACTAAACGATAACCAGCCCAGCAAGTCAAATTAGGTGATGCACTTGAGAAAATCAAAAACTTTTGCGGGCGAATAAACTCGAAATGTGATTTTGCTTCATGACAAGGTCCGCTCGCTTGCACGGAAATAAGTGATCTCCCAATAGGGTTGGGAATGTTTACCTATTGCAACTTATTCTTCATACATCACTTCTTGTGATTAGCCCTTGTTTAGATCAATGCAGTCATATTTAGCATATCATGGGTATCAGCGGTAAGCACATCCGTACGCTACCCGGTACGAGGCAAAAGATTATACATAGTGATGGTGAATATTTTGATTATTAAGCTATGTAAGTAAATTTGAATTTTGTAGAAAAAAAGATTCGGTTCAATATTCAAGAAAATAGACTTCGATTAAATGCTGGCGGCAGTACGGAAACTAAAGCGCGTTCAGTTATTCGGAAAGTTATTCCATTTTGGCCCAACGTAAGACTTAATTGTATCTCTTCACGGCCAACTTTACGCTTAAGCCGAATTATCGTTGTAGATGTTGGCAGGTGACATAGGAAGGTTTGTTTGTGAAAAGAGTTGTGCTATTCAACGCAATAGTTTTAAATTGGTGCGAGTGCAGCACTGTTTTATTATCGAAAACTTTAAAATGTTTTCAAGAAAGAAAATGGACGTCAAAAATGGATGTGTACGTAAACGATCAGTGTTAAAACTGGTTTGCAAAATCTCATTCTGACAAGTTCAACATTGCAATGGCATGAGCAATAAACTGGTCTAAACCGCTGGCTAACAACTTTGTGCATTTGGAAAAATTGTTCTTTAAAACGTGACAGTAATGTTAGAGAATTGCTGATCAAAAACTGAATTTTGCAAAAAAAAAAAAAAGGGTTCTTTGTATTTAATGAGCCATGCACCCAACGCAGGTCGTACAGTCTTATCGGAATCAACTTCACTCTGAGCTTTCGAAAGAACGTTCTGTGAAATTTCGGTTTTTTGCGCATTTTGCGTCGATCCTAGACTTATTCTTATATTTATGTCATCCCGAAAAACACCTCTTGGACCCTCAAACGCCACTAATGTTCAAAATTATTCGTAGTTGGGTGTTACAGAAGCCAGTAGCCAGTAGCCAGTCCAAACGTATTATGGTACGAAGCCATATGTTTTATTGGTGGATTTCATAAGTAATTATAAATAAATATTCTCTCTCTTCTTCATCAGGAAGATTAACACATTAACGAATGATTACGCGATAAGATGTTGAACGTGCTTAAACATGCTGTAGCCGATTATTGGATCCAAAAAAGCAAAAGATTTTCTAACTTGTCAATTAATAACTGATAGAGAGAGAACAATGAAAGCGTAAGCATTTATTAGAGGAAGGTACACCTTATGAGGGCTTTCCGGAATACCATCACCAATGGAAAGGCATGTTAAACAAAGGCATCTTCCCGGCGCGCGTCCTGAATAAGTTTAATATGAAAAGATGACATAATATCACGATAGAAGTATGTGAGCACAGTCAGTAGAAGCGTCGCAACGGATATTCCAAAAATTCTTGTCCTCCATCTCTCCTTACAGGATGCAAGTGAAATTATCTTGTCAGTAGTAAAGATAGCTCGTCCTCGTAATTTCATCTTATTGTTCGGAACTTCATCGTTTCACTTACAACATTTTATTCTTGATACAACGGTCGACTAGCTGAAGCAGACCCCCCACTATACTACTAAGTTTTTCGGGGCTACTTTCTCTTATGAAGAACCTTAAGCCTTATTTTTTAAGATGCTATTAGATCTAATAGACGACATAGAAAATTCATGCGCTGCTTTATAAAATTGCTTTGCTCATTTCGTTGTTTGCATAATTAAATGACTTTCGAAAACATCGCAAACTGCATCAAAACTATTTCAACTACACACTAAATAATATAGAAGAATCATAAAAAGAAATGTTTACATATCGAAAAAATATTTAACTATCAGTTTTCTTTGCTTGCAATAATTTTCGAGAAAGTTTTGTTTTGCGAATATTTCATCAAAAGCAAAAGCATTGGAAAGAGAATTTTACTTAACTAAATTGGCAAATGATGCATTCGACAAGTTTGACCACAAACAAAAACAAACGCATAAAAAAAAAAAAAGACAAAAAAGTCAAAGGCACTGAAACTCAATTTAACTGAGTTGGCTAACGAGCTATTTCTCAAAGACTTTCTATCGAATAATGTAAGTTGTAAAAAACTTCGTCACTATGTGCAGCGACCAAAAGAACCGGCAATGGCTTGTTCTGCGCGTGTGTGTATGTGTGTTTGTGTTTATATGTATCTATATGTACAAGGAAAAAGAGAGCTGAAATAGAAACATAAGCTGAAATCTGTTTTCCTACAAAAACTTTATTAATTCTGTTGCACTGGCAAGGACGCGGAGCTGTGCATTCACTCTCTTAAAAACAACTTCCCAAATACGAAGACGTGTTTTATTGGTAAATGTTATTTGCTGCTTAAAACCCTAAAGGCCACAAACGATTTTCTGTACTTTAAAATTTCATTTTAATAGAATAGTTAGCCGGCCAGTTTACTCGAATAGTGAAAGTAACAAAGTACTTGAAAAAAAAAATATTAATGAATAAAACCTTTTAAAAGAATCTTTTTTAAAGCCTGTACTGTTTTGTTTATTTTTTTATAACGAAGGCAACGCGATTGTACACAATTAGTATTAAACAGGAAAATAAACTATTACAGAAAACCTTACAGATGTTAAAACCTAAAATGGGACTCGGCCGATGTTGCTTCAATATTAAACCGAGCTTAACTTAAAAAAAAAAGACAAATTGATGCTCAAAGAAAATTAAAATATATGCCTTCTTTCCCTTTTGCGCACCAATAGCATTTACAAAATTCTTAATCTAAAGTAAAATAAAATAACTCTTGATCAATGAAGAGAAGATGAAAAACGACGGAGTGAATGATACACTCCTTGCACTGAAACTTCTAAAGACTAGAAGGAACCTGAGTTGCTTAAGGTAATTTAAGATTTATATTCTATGTGTTTCTCTATGCTAATTTTACTGGTACACATATGATCTGACATTCTTATCTAAGACTTATATTCTTGTACTTCTAACATTTCTTATACCCATCACCGAAAGATGACGGGTATATTCGTTTTGTCTTCAGGAATCCCACCAAGTATACATACTCTTGATTCAAAATCGATTTAACCTTGTCCGGCTGTCCGTCTGTGCAATGTCTGTTCTAAAGGTTCTCCTGATCACAAAACTATAGCTATCGACTTCAAATTTGGCAGAAACACTGGAAGTTTTTGCACGCAGGTTGCTATTGGAAATGGGATAAATCGGTTGAGGAGCATGCTTACGTCACGCCACGTCAACGGAAAACATCTTTGGTTTTCACAAGGAATAAAATATTGGTTTTGTGCTCATTACTCATGCATTACAGCAGATAATTGGTACAAAAACTCTTCTATGGGCGACATGGTAATACCTGCACAAAAATGGAAAAAAATGAACACGCCTACTAAATATTATAGTGCATCAAAAATTTTATTTACTTTTCCATACCTTCATAAGATGCAGAGACCAGCTTCAAAAACCCTATTAAGTGAACAAATTCTTGGTTACTTTCAAATTTGAAATGCACCTGAACACATCCGTCCGTTCGTGTGTTCATCTGTCTGTCTGCGCAATTATATAGTATTTGTGGTAAACATTCTCCCGTTAGCAAAAAGGAAGATATCGTCTACAAATTTACAAAAGAAATTTGGAAGTGACTTATACTTTTCAAAGGACACTCCTAAGAGGACGACACAGTTAATTGATTAAAGGCTACTCCACATGAAAGAAAACTCGTTGTCGTACGAATTGTGGCGCGAAGTTCTTGAAAAATGACTTTTTCATATATGAACGGCAATCACTGATAGCAAAAACAGATGTGCTACGAGAAGTTTTATTGCAAAAAGATTTGCTACAATCTTGGTTAAGTCAAGTCTATCCTTATTGCTTGATAGGATTAGCTAAATGTAGAGCGATACGGGTAGGTTCAATTCAGAGATAGCGTCACTGTGCAATGTGATCGAGGACAATTAACGCAGTTCAGGCGTCCATTAAAGAAGAAACAGCACTACTTTGCAAAAAGTCGCTAGGGCTTGATGTATACATCGAAAAATTTGTCAAAAAACAAACAAGTAAAACTATATTCGGTCGTGACCGAA